AAGGCCTTACTACACAGAAGAAGAACAGCAAGACCCTCTTCCCATACTCATAATGTTTCCACCTTTATGTTGCTACAGCCTTAATGAGTGCTCCTGCGAATTCTTGATACCTTTTAATCTGAGTTTTGCACATTGAAGTACAAATCTTCAGCAGCTGAGCTGCCGTCTCCAGAAATTTTACTGAGCCCTCTGTATATTCAAGGCTGGATGCTCCTTTGTTCCAGTGCTATTGCAAAGGTGTTAAATGCCTCCAACTGTGATGTATCATTCGCTGCAGGGTGGATGGCAATACTGGAAATGATTGAGAAAACCAAGCCTACCTGAAGGTCCTCAGAAAGTCAGAGACAAGTGGATAATACTCAGAGAAGAAATTCTTTGTCTCATGACAGAGAATGTTTCTTTCCCTTCAAACAACAATATCACAGTTTCCTAAAAACGTGTCCCTTTCTTGAATTAGAAAGGGAACAGGCCCAATGACTAAACCAGTGGCCAGCCTGAAGGATTGGCTGTCCCTGCAGTAAGGCGAGATCTTAGCTTCACTGCATTTTCCGATCATCAGAAGTGAAATCGTGTGAAATGAAACTGTAACGAGATGATAAGACAAGCAGACTGTAGGCCTGCTAATCAAAAATACACAGTATTCTGCATGGAAATCCAGCTCTGCCCTATGAAACTGCTGTGCATTTTAATGTCTAACTCATTTACTGTCAGAGCAGGCAATCTTATTTGTATTTGGATATGAAGGCAGGTGGGCATGTTTTCCACAGGCACCACAGCTTGACAGTCTTGTTACTTTGCTTTGACAGTTCCCATGCAGAGCCACAGAAATAAAATTACAATGCTGGAGGTCAACATAATGGCTCTGATCGCTTTGAATGACTGACGATCCTCTGGCTTCCCTGACCAACGTTGCCTGCCTTGGTCATGATATGAAGACACACTTGAGAGCAATTAGCAGAGACCATAATTGGAAATGAACTCTTAGCTGTGTGCTATGACATGCAGTTCAATACCTCCAGTGGATGCTCCTCTCCATTACCCAGCCCAGCTCTGCTGACTTCAGCACGAGGTGAGCTGTGGCCAGGACCAGGGATGGAGAGCATGACCTGGGAAAACCAGTGATGAGAGCTGGCAGGACCCAACTGGGGAGAGTCAGATGGAGAAAATGAGCTATTTTACTCAGTGAAGCTCGTTTGTACCTTGCCTTGGATTTTTACTCCATACATATCTCTGAATTTCAGCAGCACCCCTCCATGACTGGCGTGACAGCCACATACATCCTAAACTGCCTGAAGGGTGAGGGACGAGGGGAGATGAGGCTATGCTGGTTTACACTTTGAAAGGTGACCAGAGGTTTTTGCTGTCTGGCCTGACACGCTTCAGATACGTACACTGTGAAGAAAGAGCATCTCCCTTTTAAACTGCTCCAGAGTGCTGAAAATATCAAAGCTTCTGTCGTTTTCATTTGTCTGTAAAGTTTTCAGCCACAGTGCCTTTGTGGCAGCAGGGCGAGGGGGAGGATGCGGGGAAGGGGTTGCATGCTGGATCTGTTTGGAGTTTTTTTGTTTTTAAGCAGCTGTCCAGTGAGATTAATTAAACTTTCCAGAGTTTCCCGGGCTCACTTAAGTTCTTTGGTGATACAAGCTTTCTTAAAACCAATGAAAGAGCAAATTGAAGTTTTAGCTCTGATAAAACATTCCAGCAAAATAGCAGTGTACTTTTCACGGCAAGACAAATTCTTACAGCCTACTGCTGATCCTTTTATGTGGAAATTAGGAGTTGTTCACCAAGATAATCTCCCAACCTCCTGTACAGCACTGTTGCAGAGAAGCCAAATGGTGTATATGTACGTCTTCTTCCTTGTTACCAGCCAGCAGTAATGATGGTGGATAAATAAAGAAAAACAGCTGCAGTTTATGCTACTCCCACACACATACACGCTCTCCTTTCTGAGCAAAAGCTGCAAGAAAGGCTCAGTAATAGAGTACACGGTATGCTGAACCTACACTCCAAAACCAGCTGCAGGCATAACAGGATGTGTTTTAAAAGCAACAATGAAAGGGCAGCATTTTGTTATTTAGAAAAGAAGGAAGAAACATAAAAAACTGCAAAATCATTCATAAACTTTGGCTTGTTCAACAATAGGTCTAGCTTGGCTAGTTCTGAGCACATTACGAAGAGTGGCTCTTTGGGACCACATTTTTACATTCTTGTAAGAGAATATTGCTTTGCTTCATGTTGAGGATCAAGTAAACATTTGTTTACTGATCCACATCCTGTATTCACTGATTGTGAATGTCATTATCTATTAGATATAAGAGTTTTCTACGCCTTATTGAAAACTATGCAGTTACCATTGTCCTGAACCATACAGTCAAGAGCGTAATCTGGACCTAGGGGTAGCTTGTTGCTTCTTGTTAATAGTTTGTTAAAGCTGAAGGGAACTTCATGACGGCCCATGTCTCCACTTGGAGTAAGCAGGCTGTTGAAAATAACAGAGATATGCAGATTTCTATTCCCTGATTTCTGTTAATGGAGAATTTTCTCCATCCAATACTTTCTCTTGGTATCATCAGAAAAATACTGCAACTGGGTCTGCATAGATTATTTTCAGAATTAACCCCAAATTGATGGTTTTCATATATGAAAATAATGTTGCCCATTTGACTGTTTAGGAATAGAAAGGACAATTGTTTTGTGTTTGTCTCTTTCAGCAAATGCAAGCTCAGAAGAGTCTATATCCAGCTGCTCCATATAGTCTTTGCCTTAAACATCAGGCTTCTCCCTTCCACACATTGTTAGCAAGTTACTAAAGAAAATTTCAGCGCTTCATCATTTGCTGTGACTAAATTAATTTTCTTCCATGCTGGTAAGGATACCCTAATGGACTTTATTTACTTTCCTGTGCTAGCATTTTGCTGATCCTGCTCACGCTGCGTCAGTGGCAGCACTGAGTCAGCCTCCCTCTTAGAGAGTTCTGCCATTAAACCTCCTCCTTCAGCGGGGGGTCGTTATTAGAAAAATAACACCTCCTTTTTAAAACCAAGGAGAAAACAATGCCGAGTCAGATTTTGTTCTGCGTGGTGTTGCACTCCCAAGCATTGGAAGTACTGTGTTATTAAAACAAATTGCATTCCACAGTCATTGAACCTTTTTTCCCCTCTTCCTTAAGTGTGACCTTAACTTAAGCCAGAGAAAGTTAGGGACTGATTAAACTCTAGCTCAGAGCTTTCCCAGCGGTCCTGCTTGTGATATACGAGCTGCCACAAAGCGATACTACACTGAGCAGAGCACAGATAGCAACCAGTGAAAAATGTCTGGGAATGCCTGTGCAAGACCACGCTCCAGCTGCAATCAGAATTATTTAAATATCTAATTTAACCACAATATGGAAGTTTCATTTTGACCGCTTTGCATTATCAATTTGAACCTTACTTTTATTGTTTGTGTTGTAAGTTGTTTGCCTAAAGAAAGGTGGATTCTCACTGACTGATACCCCTGAGGACATGTTGATTTGCTGCTTTTTATAGATTTAACCTTAAATTCAGTTGTTGTTTTTGATGGCCAAGAGTATGCAATTCTGTGCTGTATTGCCCATTCTAAATTGTTAACCACATTTAGTCAGATTAATATTTGTCATTTAGTAGCAGATTTGTTTTGTTTTGGTTTGTTTGTTGGGTTTTTTTAAACGTCAGATTGGTGCAGCCCTTTTTGGGTTATATTTGCATTTAAATAAAAACTGTGGGAAACCTGGATTTTGAGAAAATTATTAATTTTTTTTAAATGGTAAATGAAACTAGTAAATATGATAAGAAAAATCTAAGAAAAGGTTTTCAAAACATGTTTTACATTTACATTTTCCTCATTTTAAGGAAAAGGTTTTGCAGGTGCTGACATTAGGTGATTATTCACCATGGCCTTTAAGATCTTAAAGGTAACTGATCTGAGCTTCTCACACCAGTTTTTACTCCTAGACTGGAAGAAGATACGAACTTGCTGCATTTTTTAGCTTTCTAAATGAAAGACTTAGTTATTGGGCTAAATCTAAATAACTATACCTTAAGAAAAAATCCCTCTGCTTTTATAGGTGAAGTCTGAACTCTGCTTCATCAGTTTCACCTGGACCAGTTTAACAGCCTTGATTACTATTTTAATTTAATTTAAAGCAATTTAAAAGACTAAAGTAAATGTAGGCATTAATACAGGCTATGTATATCCAAGTTTTTTAAAAATACAATTTATGATAAAAATCTGTTGGAGAGACCTCTAGTTTTTAACACGGTTGTGTCAGCAGCCCTGAAGATGAGGGTCCTGGGCCTGCAGGAATTCTCTTGCCCATTCACTCCCTTTCCACTCCCAGCATTTTACCAACAAATTCATTTGCTGCTGTTAAAAACACGTGGCTGCACACGGTCACACCAGGAACGACAAAGAAAAAGGAATATCCCCATCACGCCTTTTCCAGCAAAGTGGCGTGTTTCCACACGCCACCCGGCCACACCAGGCTACCAGGTGAGGGCAATGCTTCCCAAGACGCTTGCCCGCCTTGTGCTGATGAGCTGCTTGCGGACGGGTTTTCAGTGGATGAAAGGAGGTGGGGTAGCGGTAACCGCAGAGGGGCCTGAGAGGACGAGAAGGGGCAACGGAAGGCGTGTGGGGGATTAACTGATGGTGAGGAAGGATCGAGCGTTGGTCTGACACCATCTTACTGTGAGCTGTCAGGTTTCTTAACGAGACCTCCCAAGAGATGCACATGTATTGAAGGTCCTGCTAATCCCAACCATTGCACCAGGCTTTCAAATATTTAAGAGGAGACCCTGCGGTAATGCAGTTTACACCAGCGGGGTCTGTTGTGCAAACTGCTCCCACCATGACAAACTCCTTGCAGCTGAAGATGTGGCCCAACCCACCGAGCGCGGGGTGCCATCAAGCATTATGTTTGAGCGCAGCGCGGATGAGTCCCTGTGCTTCCCACAAGGATGCTGCGGGAGAAGACTTACCCCTGCACCCTCCTCAGCTTCGGGACTTTCACAGGAGCATGGTCCCGGCGGATCCCTTGGCAGCATATCCGATCCTCCCGTGCCTACAAAACCAAAGACATTTTATTGCCCATGGGAGAATACGCGTGGCTGAGAGGTTGCTTTGCTTTGCTCGGATCCATTTCTAGCAGCCCTGCTCTGTCACCAGCCTGTATCTCGTCAACATCGTTAAAGAAAGCAGAAAGGGTATAAAAACAATGACTGAAAAATATCTTTGCCAGCAGGAGACAGCTCTGCGTGCTGCAGAGAGGCAGCCACTGCTGGGAGAAAACGCAATGGGTGCTTAGTGGATTGACACAGCTCACCATGGCTCGGCAGGGACATACTCAATTTCAGCCCCCGCAGCAGCCATCCTTGTCCCTAGAGTGGTGCCCAGTGCTGGGGCTGACCTGGTCCCTGATGAGGTGGTGGGGTGGTCCTGGCTGCCAGGTCCAGCCTTGGCAACCCCAGGGAGCCCTTGGGATGCTGTTTGCTCCATGTTCACCTGTGTTGCTGTGCTGAAGGTATGCCTCTGCTTACACCACCCCTGGGATGAGCTTGTCCCATCTTGGGGAGAAGCCAGAGGACTTTTCAGCACTTTTGTGCATCCCAAGGGAAGGGTCACAGAGCATCTTGGACCCTAACTAAGAGCATCTCATTAGGGACCACTGTTTGTCAGCCAGGCGGTAGTCACCACTATTTATCTGGTGAGGCCAGGTTACAGGTGCATCTCGCAGGACACGGTGCGGGCAGCCTGACAGCCCTGTGGGGAAGAAGAACCTCTGCAGTTTTCTTTCTACATCAAGCTTAAACCTTGAAGAAGGTAAGAAAATTCCTGCAAAAAATTTCACCTCCAGGGACAATCTTGCTCAAGCACAGCTAGCCACAGACAGTGGTTGCTTTTGGAATTTCCATAGCAATGGCAATAATCACCACAAATAATGGTGGATTAGAGTCAGATTAAATTGGTGAATGTTTTCCAAAATGGGAAATTAAATTGCAGGGGTTACATGATCTCCTCTATACAGGGTAAGGATGTATAAGGATTTACGTATCATCTCCAGTAGCACTGTTGAATGTACACATTCACACTGAGAATACATTGAATAACGTCCCTTGTGCTACCACAGCGCTGTGTGCACCTACTAAATTTGAAATACAGCTCATGTAATAATACAACTCAAAAGGGCTCTGCAGTCTTTGGTCAATACAAGGACAGTTATTCATGCCCTCTGCTGCTACCTCACTCTATGGTGTTGAGTGTGTCTCTTCAAACCACTCCTGTTTGTGTATACTCCACAGTTGTGTTATGATTATTTATGCAAAAGGATCTGTGCATCAGAGGTGCCCTTTGCTTATTTGTTGCTCCAGCAGACAGTGGCATATGCTAACAGTGCTAGCTTGAGCTCTAGCCTGCCTATAGATACGTGAGGCACTGACTGCACACCTGTACCTTTCTTTCGAACAGTATTGGTTGATGGGTTTTCCTGCTTTTAGGCCGCCTCAGATAGACATCTTCTGCACCGGGGGAAGAACATTAAAAAGTGTCAGTGCAACTTCTCTGCCAAAATCCTGTTGGTGCTTTTAACTTTTTCCAGCACAGGTTCTTTGCAGCTAACTCCTCCTCTTCCCACATGCTGAGCTATGGTGTCCATGTGGTCCACAGAGCCAATAGGGAGCCCCCAGCGAGGCTTAGAGACGGCATTAAAACCAGTGGAAGTGCATAATAACGAAACTGGGACCTTTTTTTCTTCTTGTGCTCTCAGCACTCTGGGGAAGTCCACAAAGCCAGAACTCTAATCTTGTGATTTTACCACAGGATTGATCCCTCCTTTGCATTCATCTCTGCTGGGGTTCCCCTAGAGCACTGCTGCTTTGGAAGTGGTGCTGCAGAAAAGGCATCTAGTTTATTCTGTCCTGATTTCTTTTTTTCTGCTGTTTTTTTTGTTTTTTTTTTTTTCTTTCTTTCCAGTTCACTTGGATAGCTTTATTCATGCTAATCTCAGGCCAAAAGGACGTTTCTTGTTATACGTACATCCTAGCTTGTATCAGGAATAGCGTAGTGAGCAGGACTAGGGAAGTGATCACCCCCCTGTACATGGCACTGGTGAGGCTCCACCTTGAGTACTGTGTTCGGTTTTGGGCCCTTCACTACAAGAAGGACATTGAGGTGTTGGAGTGTGTCCAGAGAAGGGCTACAAAGCTGGTGAGGGGTCTGGAGCACAAGTCTTATGAGGAACGACTGAGGGAACTGGGGTTGTTTAGCCTGGAGAAGAGGAGGCTGAGGGGAAACCTATCATTCTCTACAACTACCTGAAAGGTAAAGAGGTGGGGGCTGACTTCTTCTCTCCGGTGACAAGTGATAGGACGAGAGGAAATGGGTTCAAGTTATGTCAGATAAGGTTTAGATTAGATATTAGGAAATCTTTTTTCACTGAAAGGGTTATTAGACATTGGAATAGGCTGCCCAGGGAGGTGGTGGATTTGCCATCCCTGGAGGTGTTTAAAAAAAGCGTAGATGTGGTACTTGGGGACATGGTTTAGAAGTGTTTTTGTCAGGGTAGGATAATGGTTGGACTTGATGATCTTAAAGATCCCTTCCAACCTCAGCAGTTCTATGATTCTATGTCTGTAGAGCATTTTAGCATAGTGGGCCTCTGAGTGTCTACTGATGCTTATGTGTTCTCCTGCTATTCAAATACAGATGCAAAATAGAGCTGTGTGCCTTTTTTTTTGCCATTTTGCTAAAGCACCCCTTCATACTCTGGCCTCCTTGCATCTTTTTCTTCAGTATATTTGGAACTGTGATTGCCTTCAGAATGTTGTCTTTGTGTGGATGCCTCTGTTCGCGTTAGCAAGTAGCTGTGCAGCAGGAGTGTATCAGAGGATGGGAGCAGTGGGTGCTGACATCTCTAGATGTACATTTGAAGTGTTTCCAGGATTTAATGTCAGACTAGATTTAGTCTGATTCCCTGGACTGAATGCTACCGCAGTGTCAGAAGGAGTAATACTTCATTTGAACATTAGTGTTTCCACTAGGGTTTGAAAAGTGTTTCGCATCACCCTGCAGAAGAGCTTCTGGTTTGGTTTCCTCCAAAAGGACTCTTACCCACAGCTCAACAGTCTCATCACATCTGAACTGGTTGCAAGTGTGGTTGAGGAAAGAGGGATGAGTTCACTAAAAACCATACTACTGTTCTCTGCCTAAATGCTGATGTATATGCAGCCTATGCCCACCAAGAAAGGGCAGTCTGGTGACTAGGATGCTAAATGGAGATACGGGTCGCCTAATTTCACACCTGCGCCACAGTTAGCCTTCTGCATAGCCCTTGGTAGGAACTGCTATTGGCTTAAGCTGTCCATCTGTAAGTAATATTCCCCATTGATGTGGCAACATGTGAAAGATTAAGAAGAGAGCAGTACAGTGGTAATAAATGCACTTAACTAGAAAAAAAGTCATGAAAGTCCAAGGCCTAGAAATTAACACACATAGGAAAAGGATAGATCTCCCCCAAACCTCACAAACTTATAAATACCATAAGCCTGAGTAGACTTCATCTCCATGCTCTGTATTTGGTGACAGGCCATATCTGCCACAGCATGGACCTCTGACTTAATCTGCGCAACATGGCAACTTTATAATCACACTTGGATTAAAAAAAAAATCCCAAGCATGTTCACATCCATGGACTTGTTGTAAAGGCTGCACATAGTACCAGTTCATGCTGCCATTAGCACAGCTAATGTTTTACATCTATCATCGCCTGTGCAGCAGTGATGAAGTAATTCAACCAGAACAGCTGCAGGGCAGCTCCATCAGCACTATAGGGGCTCAGTGGCTTTTCATCCATCTCTGTGCACGCGAGCTCCCCTTCTGTGTAGCACTGTGCTGACTTATTTGTTTCCTTTTATTTGCTGTTGATTTCAGCTGTGAATAGTGTTTGATGGATGACAGGAGTTTAACAATAAAGAGGACCGGACAATACAACAGGAATGAAGCTGAGCTAACAGTCTCTTTCCTTAAGAGACATATCCATGCAGACTTGGGAGAGAAATCAAGGTGTGGATGATAAGGAGGAATTTGGGCTCTCAGCTCCCCGCCATCAGCCGGGAGAGAAAGGAACAGATGTTGTCAAGACAGGAAGGATGAAATTTAAGTGTAAGAGGGAGATGCCCAGTTCCTGGTGATGTAGTTGGCAGTGAAAGTGGAGAATATGGATGAAAAATAGAGGTACTAATGAAGGATCTGGAAAACTGCTGTGCACACCCAATCAGTGCTCTTAGCAAACAACGGGAAACTTTAGCAGTTTGTTCCTGAATCACAGTTCTTCATGGTCACTGTGACCATGGGGGAAGCACCTCTGCCTTTCCGTAGCAGTGACCTGGAGCAGTACACTCATCTCAAGGGTGCTTGCTCCATCGTTCTCAGTCTGCCAGCCCCTTTGGGTTTCTGCTCTACTTCTACAGGACCTGGTCAAAGAAAGGAAACTTTAAGGTGCCATTCAGCTACCAAAGTATGTGAACTTTCTAGAGGAGCCACAGCTCCCTTAGAAATTAGTTTTGCTTTTTGTTTAGCAATAGAGTGCTCTATGTTTTCAGCACATAGACTCCATTGCTGTGTTGTTAAGCTTGCAGGAAACAACTCTGAGCCCTCTACCATATGATCACTAACACTGGGGTAGGCTGTATCCATCTGAAACCTGGCAGCCTACATCCTCTTGCAAAAGAAACGGGTGCAGTAAAGGGACAGGTTGTAGCACAAGAGGAGCTGAATTCAGGGAACACCTTTAGGGCACAGATTTGTTTCCTCCAAGGAAAAGGTAGATAAAGCATTTACTGGTATTCACCAGGAAAACTCCTGCAGTGATCAAATCATACTAAATCAAGCCTTCTTCATTTCCCACACGACAGTCATTTATACCTGCTATGAAAGGTTAGGGCATAATCAAATATTCACTTGCATGGCAGCTGGAGAAATTTAAGATTTATTATCCTCTTCCACTGAGATGGGTTGTTTGTGGGAGCACTTTTAGTCCTTTTCAGAGCCA